CGTATCACAGGCGAGGGTAAAGGTGAATTTCAATGTAAGGTTTTGGTATCTGAATCTCACATTACTAATCTGTGATAATCAAACTTTCCAAGAGGATTCTTTTACTGGTAAATTTTTTTGGATATGGAGGGAACTGTAGTAATCAAAACAGGATTGTGATAAGAGCTTAACCGAACTTGGAGACAAAATCTAGATAGGGACAAATGGAAAGAATCGAGAGAAGAAAAGAAAGAATCAATTGAAGAATTTTATTAGCAACAGGACATGTACACCAGCCCACAGATCTTCGAGGGTCTGCTACCTCCCCTTTCTTGGAACGTTTCCAAGATTTGTACAATTCCCTGATTATTCCCGATCCCCTTTTCTATTCCTCACCCCTCCCCTTTTATACATTCCTCACACATTCCCCTCTCACCAGCTGCTTTCTAAGTAAGTAAACCACTAATACTACCAAGTTCCCATTGTAAGCTGAAAACAACTTCATCCCGACCAGACCCCGCCCCTTCCTAAGCCTTTATTCCTCCTAATGTACACTTGCCTGAGTAAGGGCTTATCAGATTGTTATATACTTTGAACGGCCAATTGTTTTAGTACATTTAGCTAAAAAGTTGTCCACAAATCATATAGCACATGAACCAATAAAGGAATTTTTTGTTTTGGAAAAAAAAATAATAATAAAAATAAAAAGAGAGAGAGAGAGCAAGAGCAAACCTGCAGACAAGTAAATAGGAACCTTCAGATTCATCCGTTCCCAGTAATCTTCCAATAGGATGCAAAGTTCCTAGGTGATGACGGAAGATATTGTCAAAACGGAACAAAGATTCTTCAGTAACGGTTAATACATTCAGATCAAAATAATGGTTAACACATAACAAAGATAAGCCTACAAGGGATTCCAATCACCATACTGTGACTGATTGCATAAAAAAGAAACCTTCTGATGCAGCAAAAAGAAGCGTAAAAGTTATCAATAACCAAGCAATGACCGTATTAATTTAGCAAGACAGTGAGGAATGTGTAACAGATAATAGATAGATTAGGAAATAGTAAAAAACTGAAGTCGGACAGAAGTTGGTTTGAGTTGAGCCATCATTTTATTGTAGAGTAAGTCCAGAGTATTTAGGTTGTATTGACACCACGTGACACAAATATCTAGTATGCTAAAACTTAAAGAAAGAATATGCCGTTAGCGACTCCAAAAGTCCACTTTCATGGTGTATTTCATGTTTCAACGCTTCTACCCAAACTATATGTGCCTCATTTTTCTATTGCTGGTTAGAAATCTAAGAGAGACGAATATTCCTGTTAAATGGGAAATATGGAGGAAAACATACGAGCTGCAACTATGTAGAAAAAGTAAATACAAACAAGAATTTTGACGAAAACATTACACATGAAAGTCATATTAATGAACTTGGAGGCTTCAAACTGCATAAAGGTTTTTGTTAACGAACAACATTGAGCAATTGATCACAGGACTTAAGAAAACCTTTTCTGCCATTGAAAACGTAGTAGGAGAAAAGGATAAAAGCTTGTCGTAGGCAAAATTTCAAAACCAAAGTCATAGGATTTATCATAGGAAAAAAAAAATCATAGAATCTACATATGATGTTAATAATAATATAATGAAAAACTCAGGATCACAAAACTAAGTGATATTTGAAGGCTATCTCAATGACATTACCTGAGCTCTTCCTAGAGCAAATGTAGGTATAAGCACTTTTCCTCCACCAGAGACACATTTGTGAACCTATTTAGATTTAGTTCAAAAATTCATTCCAAAAATACTCAGAGATCAAGTCAAGATGGATAAAAAACTCTGACATCTAGGCAAAAGAAAAAATAAATATTGAATCTATAAGCAGGAACGACAAAGACAGGTTCTCATTATTCACATACAGCTTTAAGAAATTCTCTTTCCCGAACGTACTTTGACTCACGTATAGTTGTTGCATACGTTGACCTGCAAAAGGATTACTATTAGTAGAAGAAAGCCTGAGATAAAAAGAAGATATTCACTAGCGTAAATCCAAGATACAGGTTGAACATATCAGTCCATACATTCACAGATAAGCTAGATGAGCAAACAACAATAAAGATCTTTAGAAAACACAGATTCACATTCCGTACTCTGTTATAACGAGGTCCAAATCTAGTCGATCAACTTGAGCTGCTCCAAGATGTCTATCTGGTGTCATATTGTAGTCTCCTGTGTACAATATAGCACTATCTCCCGCCTTTGCATAAAACAATGCAGCTCCAAGAACCTTTGGAACATAACAAACATTTAGGACCCAAAGAACTTCAATTATGAAATAATAGTCATTTCCAAGTGGGGATGGGCAATGCTGATTGAGAGAAATGGGTTCTCAAATCACTGATACAAAATGCATATTTGGCTTACTACATAATGGATAATGGCTAAGGGACGAATTTCTGACATGGCAATTGTAGGACAATGGACAAAGTGTTATCCGTGAAGGAGGAGATGAAAACAATGTTCCTTCATCTATATGTCTAATTTATATTACATAGGATAATTGTCAAATATGCAGTGGCACCAACTTTTAGGCTATCAGGCATGCTTTATAAGTTATTAGTTCACCAGTTTAAGTGAACAGGCAAGATTTCTTGCATGCGACAATATCAAATTGAATGTCCCGAGAAATTCAGCAAGTCCTTAGCATAAAAAACTACAAATTTCAAATAGGAGTGAAAATGGCAATGAGAAAGAGCCAATACTCATTTGTGTCACTTTGTGAATAACATGGTTTACAAGACTTACATGTCCTGCATAATATGCACGGATTTGAAGATCTTTATCAACCTGAATAGTCTGCTTTAGATCAACTGCTATAACTGCAATAGGAACCCAATTAAAGCATCAAAAACAAGGGAATAGAAAAATATTTGCTGACAAAAATAAGCAGAGGGCGGGTCCTGACAAGGGCAAACCCCTAGTTTAACTTTGCTAATAATTCCTAGAGTTTTTGACCTTTAAACATAGCTGGTAGGCGGTTCTTGACAAAACCAAACTAGGAAGTGGCTCTCCATCAGCCAAATTGGTGACTCGCTTTATACAGGCTAAAAAAGAAAATTGACTATCCAATCCCAACCCATTGCATTGAATACGATGGAGAAGAGTTGCATCAACTTCATATACCTTTTTTCATGCATTGCATTATGTGATCAGAAGTAAATTGTTCCTCCTCACCCCTTCGTTCAACCAATACTTTCCTATAATCCTCCAACATAAGTGGAGCCAATGCCTTGGTTGGATACTGCACCATAAATCATTCTCACAAAAAGCCAATGAGTAAAGAAAGAAAATTTCAAGCATTTTATTAAAAATAAAATACAATTAAAAAAAAAGGATTAAGGAGCATCTCAGCACCATATACTTAAAACTTAGTATGTTTTATCTACCACTCTCAAGGGCATGCCACATTGGCAAAAAGAAGAATTTTAAAGTTTCAGTAAAGAACACATATCCCAGCAAATCCACAAAGTAACATAATAGAGTGTTTGTAGTAAAATTAGAACTAATCTTTTTGACAGTAATAAAAATGATAAGCATAAAAGATTAAGGGTATTAAACTAATAAAAGTAAAAGTGTATAAAAATAAAGGATTAGAATTGAAAAAAACAGGTTCAGCTAACTGGAATTAGACAGAAATTTAGACAACAGGTAACTAGATCAACTTGAAAGTAAAATAAAAGGATTAGGTAACTAGATTAATTAGAAAATTAAATAATAGGACCAGATAACTAGACTAATCAACTAAAATAGATGAAAATAAAGCATGGACCGGTTCACGGAACTGAAAAACAACATAAAGTAAATGACATAAAATAAATTAGATAAAACGTAAAAACACTTAAATAAAGTACACAGACGAGCAAAAATGAAATGAGCAGGAATTAGATTATGAATAAATTTATTATAAATACTTATATTTTAAGTACACATATAACAACACAAACATAACATAGCTCTTAGACTAGGTTCTTGATCTTGTTTGATCTCTGTAGGGACTCTTTTGATTGTTTAGGACAATAAGAGAAATAAGGGGCGTATGGATTTAGGCCTTAGAAGATTGAGATCCTTGGCTGAAATTTGAACAAAGAAGGAAGAGGGAAAGGAGAAGAAAGAACTAAGAGGGAGAGGAGGGAATGAAAGTTTGTTGATTTTTCTCCCTGGCTAGTTGTCTTGTTTTCCCAAATATAGATTTCTTGCCCCTAGGAACCTCCAAAACTAGCGCCTTGATTTTTATAGTGGTTTTCTTGAAACTAATCAAGTTTTGTATGCCTTTTGACAGCTGTTATTGAGACTGATCAGGTGTCTAACACCATTTCACAATTGTTCCTGAAGATGGTCAGGTGTCAAACACCATTTGACACTTATTCTTGAAGCTGTCCACTGTTGAAGCGTTGTTTAAAACCTGATTTTCTGTGATCCAGTCAATAAGGTTTCAAAATATATGATTTTCTTCAGCAACCAACACCTTTTTAACCTTCTTCTGGTTGCCCTTTTATAGACAGCTTTTAGTTTTCACCTTTTTTTGAAATTAATTTCAGTAATAACGTAAATTACTAATTTTACCCCAAAACATTGAGCAACGAACTAAACCATAAAGAGCATATAACGAACTGGTCCAACTACCCAATAAAAATAACTACCAAAGTTCATCTTTAAGTTCGGCTCACAATAACACAAATAAATAAATAAATAGAAGAAAAAGGTTTGTTTACTATTGCATACCTTACATTTTGAGTTTCAAAAATATGTATACTTTTATGTTTGGGGATATTTATATTTGTATACCTTGTGTTTTAGGTTTATTTAAAATCTATACCTTCAGTTTTCAATCTCACAAAATATATACCTTCAGATTAGATTTAATATACAAATATATACCTTATCTTGGTCAATAATTGATTTTGATCTTTAAAATGAGTATACTATCCTTAAGAAAAAGGAAAAAAACACTAAAACTTTCTAATATTATGATAATTAAAAATTAATAACACACAAAAAAAACCATTTGAATGGTATTTTACATATTTTAGAGGTCAAAATTGTGAGTTTAAATTTTTTTTTTTTTAGGTTTTTTCCTTTTTCTATGTTTTCATTTAAAGGAATTTTAGGTTTTTTATTCTTGAGCAAAAGGGTATTTTAGGTATTCTTAAGGTTAAAATTGAGGATTGACTGTGAAAAAGTATAAATTTTGATATTGAATGTATATATTTGATGAGATAAAAAATTAAGGATATAGTTTTTAAATAAACCCAAAACACGAGTTATAAAAACGTAAATATCCCTTATGTTTTTTATGTTCACAAGATTGTGCCTCCTAACTTCAATTCATGTCAAAACTTTTAGTTTATGGATAAATATATAATTAAATACTAATTTTGCAAATTTTCTCTTTACAGCTTAGCTTGAAAATAGAACTTTAAAGATTTTTCTTCTCTGTTTTTCTTTTTATTTTTTTAAACAAACATATAATTCTTCTCACAAGTTCATACCTAAGCGACAAAGGGAAAATTCATCAATTCACCGATAAAAATCAATTTTCGACCTTGAAAAAGTATCAATTTGACATAAATTTAAAATCCGAAAACACAAATTTGAGAACACCAAAATACATGGCATTCGTGTTCAAAAATAAAAAATAAAAAAAAAAATACATGGCATTCTTCTTTAATAAACTCAAAATGAAGGGTGGGTATAAAATAGTAAATCTAAAAAAAAAAAAAAAAGAAATACATGACTCAAACATTTCATCAAACACTTACCGTCATGTAAATGGGTCCACGGTATCCACAAACTTCAGTGAAGTAAGGAAGAGCACCAACATGATCCAAGTGACTACAGAACACCCCCAAAACACCATAAAAATACACACACAAAAAAAAAAAACCTCATCAGAATCGAAAAGCCCATCAAAATCAGACAAAAAGACAAGAATCGCGAGATTCACAAATGGGTGATGATGATGCAATCAAGGGCGTCGTCGAAGTTCGAGCCTTTGTCGGGCATGGGGATGAGAGAGAAATCGGGGTATCGGCGATGGTCGAGAAAGCCCATGTGCATCCCGCAGTCGAACATGATTCGCTTCCCATTGATGGACACCACCACGCAGCTCTTTCCCACCTCCTGCCCTGCGCCTGAAAAGCGGGAGTTTTGTGAGTGTTTGTCGATTTCAAGATCGGAGAAGAAAAGGCGATGAGAGAGAGATTGAAGAGTGAAAAAAAAAAGCTAGAGGGTTACCGAGGACGAGACAGTCGATTGCCATGAGAGCAACTTTTCTTGGCGCGCTTTTTAGTTTCAAAAGTGTTTTCTCTCTCTTGGTTTTCTATCCCCAGGCTGTGTTTGGAGAATGAGAGTTATGAGAAGTAGGGCTGTAAGAAATCACCCCGAATCCGACGAACCCGGCCGAGCCGAGCCGACCCTACCCGAAAATCACGGGTTTCTAATTTTTTATTTAATTTTCGGTTTGAATTATACCTAACCCGCACTGTGCGGGTAGGGGCGCGGTGTGGGGTTACATGAACCCGAGGTAACCCTACCCGGCCGAACATGTTCAAAGTAGGTAAAACAATGTTCAACACTTCAAATTCTTACTTTCATAAGTTTATGGACTTTATGCTTTTAAACTGTTAACTTATTTATGTTTTGGATTCACGATTTGTGTAAAAAATGCTTGTATGCCATAGTTGTTGAATTAGGACATTCTTTATTTATATTGGAAGTGTTTGATTTCAAAGTGAGTGTTTTAATTGTTCACCTTGCATTTAGACCCCCTATTGAAGGAAAAACATGTTCTGTTTGATAATGATTTCTTATGTAACAAGTACAAATTAATTGACTAAAAAGTGATCATGTGGTCCTTGAGATCGCTCTTGCTTTATGCATATTGTGATATGAGTTATTAGTCTTTATATTTTATTATGCCGTAATTTTGTTGTGTAATTATTTACTACAATAGTATTTGCATATATCATTTATTGCTCATTTACTACAATAGTATTTTATCATTTATTTACATATAAGAGCCTCTTAGATTAAAATTGATGAAGTCATAGATTAAAATTGGTTCTCACCAACCCGAGTAACCCGACCCTACCCGAGGTCACCCGAAAGGTTGCGGGTTTGTAGACTTAAGAGAGTGTCGCGGCCTAAAATTTTTTCAACCCGCACTAATCGGGTAGGCTCAATTTTTCGGCTCAACCCTACCCTACCCGGCCGATTTACACCCCTAATGAGAAGAAAATGGCGGGTTAGGAGAGGTTTCTCTTTATGTGTATATAAGAGTAGGTTGTTCAGTTCGCTAATTTGAGTTTTTAATTCAAATTGATATATGATGTTGTGTAAGAGTTTTTTATTATAGTAAAAAAATTAAATGTGACTATTTCTGAGAGTTTTTTACTGTAACAAAACTCGAATTAGCGAAAAAAATGGACAAATTCTTTCCTCTTTTCCTTTCTACCGAATAATAGTTTTTTTTTTTTCATTCATCCTCCCAGCCTATCCTTTCATTTTTTTTTCCTCTTATCAAACACAAAGGCGTAGAGGTCAAAAGCGAAGGCACGAAGAAGGGTACATGAGAACTGCTGGAGGCGCACAACTGAGAGGTTTGAAAGCGCATAACTTTGAAAGAGGGAGGCACAAAGCTAAGGTTTGAGGCTCTCGACTTAAAAATTTAGGGGCATACGACTTAGATAATTTTTGGTTGTGTACATTTGAGTTATGGTTTGAGATAAGAATCTTTTTGAGTTTGTGTTTGAGTGAGTTAAAACTTGAATTTGTATTTAGATAATATTTTAATAAAAACTCAATGCTGATGAAAAATTTTAATAGGGTATATGGGTCGGGTTTTATTCGTTTTTCCGTTATCAATGTATAGAAAAAAAATCATCTCAATCAGAATTAAAACGAAAAAGTTATAGCATTTTTAAGAATAGAAAAAATACTGTTCATTAATTTGAGTTCGAGTTTCTGAACTCGAGTTGAAGGGGAAACTTGAACTTGAGTTTTAGTCCTAAACTCGAGTTTGAACTCGAGTTTAAACTCAAATTTAAACTTAAAAGAACATGAACTCGAATAAAGTTGTAACTCGAGTTGTATTTTTTTGAGTTTTTCACTCAAAAGAACAAACCCTAAGAGGTTTGAAAGCGCATGACTTTGAAAGAGGGAGGCACAAAGCTAAGGTTTGAGGCTCTCGACTTAAAAATTTAGGGGCATACGACTTAGATAATATTTAGGCTATATTTAAGAAGGGATTTTCTCCTAGCCCCCCTTATTTGGCACTATCGATAGTTCATGTAAAAATGAGTTTGATTCTACCGTAATTGGCTCTAATGACGAGGGCTTATTCAGTTATTATGGGCGTATACGCATCATAATATAAGTTGAAAAATGCTTTCTATCTAAGGATGAAAATGTCCACGACATTATCGACATTTTCATGACATTATTGACATTTTCACGAAATTATCCGTATTTTGAAGTCTCGACGTGGATAGAGAGAAAGATATTCTCCCAATAGGTTTGTAAAATGTCCGCAATGTTTAAGAACATTCGCAATATCCATTAATATATGTAATATTCAGGATATTTTTTAAAAATTACCAAGAAAATATTTGTTTACACAAAAATTAATTTTTTAGCACATTTTCTTTTCCTATTTTTTTCAATAAAATGAGAGAACGTGATTCAAATTAAAAGCAATAACAAATTACTAAGACTTAATTAGTTTTTAAATAATTTTTACTTTTTAAATGAACAATTCATATTCAAAAATTAATATTTTAGTCGTACTGACCACCGGCAACAACCAAATGTGCTTCTTTAGTCTTTAGCTCTCTTTTTTTCAAAGAATATGTCCATAAAGTATTCACGTTTCATTTTGCTGGTATTACTTTATGTTGTATATATGTAGAACATTTTTACGATTTTATAGTATTATGAATTACTGTTGTTCTTTAGAGAACATATTCATGAGATTTTTCACATTTTATTCTGCAAGGCTTTAATTTTTAAGACAATGTACCAATATATACTTTTACTATTTATTTATTAGTGTCAATTATTGTAGTTTCTCTTCAAAAATAACAATAATAAACAAATTACATTCTCCATATAAGACGAAAATTGAGCTTCAGATACCATTGGCTACTGCAGAAACTCAAAACTTTATTTAGTTCCCTTTTTTTTTTTCTTGAGTTTGAACTCTTATTATCTTACATATTTACTAAAGCATAGCTACTCCAGTTCTCAGCGTGACCAATGGTTAGCAAGACAACAATTGAGGTAATTTTATTTTGTTGTACTATTTGTAATACAGTTTTTGTATGTTTGATACTTATAAAGTTCATAGATTTCATATTAGTCACGATGAATGTTAGTTAGTATGCATTAAGTTACTAATTTATTTAATTTTATGTAGCAAATATATAATAAAAAGTGAAGGTAGAACTGATCCTACGTGGCAATATTGCACGCCATTAGATGGTAATAAGTATGGCATTATATGTAACTACTCTGATAATGTCATAAAAAGTGGAGGGATCACTCGTTTCGGACGTTTAATTTATAAATTTAAAATTATTTTTTATGTATTTTTTATAAGAAAATAACACTATAAAAAATTATAAATCATAATTTAAAATTAAAAATGAATAAAAAAACAAATATTCCCTTCATTAGCAGGAAATTATCATAGAAAAATAGTAAACAATGTCCCAATGTTAACAAAATACGAAGAAATTATACAATTGACAAGGAAAAAAAATGTAGCAAAGAAAAAGAACCAGTCTCAGAAAAACCTTGGTTGAATGAACCCATCCTCAACTCTCTCTCTCATATCCGGATTTGAGCCTTTTGGTGGGCCTAGGGCTTTTAAGGAACTTCGGCCCTGGTGGAAACTTGTCTGCTCCGCCCCTCTTTCCTGTCCGCCGCTCGTGCCTTCCGCCACATATCGGGCAATTTCCTCCAAAGACAGCGGGTGGGCCAGCTGTAAGCAGGGCTGACTTCCCGCCGGCCACCATAGCCATGTATAGCTATCTGCTTTCATCCATCTACCGTAGAGTTTTGTAAGATTTCCATGCGCATCGTCTAACGTGGCCTCCGACTTAAGCTTACAGTCATTTTCTTCATGGCCCAACATGCCGCACTTGAAGCAAATCCCAAACAATCGCTCATGTCTGAAAGATTCTCATCTAAAGAATCCAGCAATCATACGTCTTTCTAAATTCACCAAGACCTGCACCCGGAAAAATCGCCCCCATGATTTTGATTCCGGTTTTGGAATCAATGTGTTGAGAACCTCACCCGCCCTAGCACCGGCTAGTCTCGCGTTCTCTTCCGTGAAAAAATCCGTCCATGAACTTGGAACCAGAATAGAGTTTTGTTGAAACGCATCTGTGAGGCGAGAAGCCCGGGTTCCCAATCTTGTAAGACCAGGTGATGGCCACCGTTTACCGTCCATGGTCTTCTGGTCATCACCCTCTGTTTGTCTTCTTTTGTTTTAAAGGTGTTAAAAAGAATAAAATTATTGTTAACTTACTTTTTAATAGTTTAAATTTTTAAGATAGATGATAAATTAACATAATAATATTAAAATAAGAAATTTTGATTTTAAATTTTTATAATTATATTTTTTATTTTTATTTAAATTATTATGTATTAAGTATTTAATATATTTTAAATTTAAATATTTATGTGTTAAATTTTTAATTAATTTACTCATATAATTATTTTTTGGCTAACCTACACATAAAAAAAAATATTAAAATATAAAATTATTAAGGACAAAAATGTTGGGTCCTCCTTCCTGCATAAACCACACTGGTATTTCGCTCCGTGCCTTCACCAGTCCATTTCTCACCACCAGTTTGCTTTGTTTCTGCCGGGAGAGCACTTTCCCAACCGCCTTCGTGTCTACTCTGATTGACACTAATTTAGGATCTGGGACCATATATATAACGTCATCAGAGCTTGTGCTTTACGGATAAGCTCCTCAAGCTGCTCCTCCTCGGTGGCTTCCATACTTCACTACTAACACCAACTAATCCACGGATGAAACAAACACTAAATGCAATGAAACAGCCGGATCAAGACAGAAAAGCTAACCAGGACTTTTAGGAGGAACAGAGATACAACTCTCAAAGGGTACTGAGACTCACCAGGCAAAACAACCATAAAACAATAGAACAGTAACTATGTCTGAAGGCCAAATACGAATTTCTGACTAACTCTCATGGTGTTTCTCTCGCTCTCACTCTCATGGTGTTTAACGGGAGAGAAAGATAAGTGATAATTTAAGACCCGTTTAGTTCGTTGATTTAAAATTTTAATTCGAGTTGAGACGTGACTTTATAAAAATTAAATATAATTATTTTTAAGAGTTTTTTACTGTAATAAAACTCAAATTTTAAACTCAAATTGATAAAATTAACAGAATCTTATTTTAGACACTATAGGACAACCATTGTAGCCTTGAAAAATCTACAAAAGCACCAGTTGAGGAGTCAGTGAACCATTGAAAAAGGATATCTGTTCTGATAATGGTGGCGGCAGGCATACTAATTTTGCTACTGTACAAACAAATGGTGCGAATTTTGCGTATGGTTAAACAGTCTGGCGTTACTAATTTTGCTACTGTACAAACAAATGGTGCGAATTTTGCGTTTGGTTAAACAGTCTCTGGCTTTACTAATTTTGCTACCGTACAAACAAATGGTGCGAATTTTGCGTTTGGTTAAACAGTCTCTGGCGTGGAATCACTTACCAAACGGACAAAAAAATATTGTGGGTATTATGCTGGTACGGACTTATAAACAAGATAAGGCTAAATGAGTTAACACAACCATAAACGATCTTATCCCGATCTGATTACAAGAATATTAACAAACCCTGATCCACGGACAAATCACACTAACTGCAATTACAAATATAAACTGCCAAAGAAAAAAAGAAGGGAGAACATGTGAAAAAAAGCCAATAAGCTACCTATACAATCACACAACCATATTGTTCACTCAAGAAACCTGACATAAGGTTAGCCCAAAGTCAATCACCTTCCTCTTTTTCCTTTTTTCTGCTTCTCTCCCTAAGCAGCAGGGGGGAAAATAACATTCTAAGTCAGAAGCACACCGACTTTCTTGCTTGATGCGGCTCTCTTTTTAGGATTTTTCTTTTCAGGTCTAAGTTGAATACAGGATCATCGGCATGCTAGCTACAATCTTATAATCAATAATAAGAAGAAACAAAAAAGGAGAGGTAAAGAAATGGAAATCGAATGCAAAACGAGGCCTATTCGGGTTTACTCCTTATCGCGGCTGCCTGTCGGACTCCTTGTCATTGGGTGCTACGTGTTAATCCACCTCTTCCCATACTTCTGCACAAGTATTAGTAAGAATGTCAACTTCTGAGTGTTGCCCGAAACAAGTATCAAGCATCAACTTAGCAGAGAAACATTTCAGTGGAAAAAGACAAACTATACCCTTACTCTCAAAAAGGTCGTACAATTAAATGAAGAGACAAAAGGGATGATGTAAAGATGACAGAATCAGATACAAGTACAAAAGTACAAAATACTTGGAATGGCATGACGTAAAAACTCGTTCTAGAAAGATAATGTTTGCTGCTGCAGCAAGCAAAGACTAAAAAATGACAATAACAATAGATTGGAAAGAAAATACTTAAGCCGTCAAAAAAAATGAAAAATATTTAGCATGAAATGACATTTTAAAGATAGTTCTAGAAAGGGTTTAAATCATATCCTGAAAGATGATGACACATTATGCGCAGCACCAACAGAAAACTAAATGGAATGACAGTTGAAGATTCTTGCGGCAAACAGACAAATTAGTGGGAAGTTAGTATGAGAAGTCACTTTATATATTTAAAACGTCACATATCATCACTAAAGGATAAATGTTTATCATAGGAAAGCATAAAACAAATCTTATAACTAGCATAAAACAAATCTTATGTACCTTCCAGCAAGCAGAGTACTGTTGACAGAACCTTTAGTAGCACTACCAAATCTCTTTGCTCTATTCTCGTGTTCTTTCTCAACACGCATGGCAGCTACCTCCTTCTCCATGGCAGCAACTTCCCTTCTCATTTTCTTCGCCTCGACTTCCATTGCTTTAGTCAGTGTATCTACCTTCTTGGCTAACATCTGAACAACAACAAAAATAATTAAAAATTTAATCTTAAGTAAAACCCTATATCACGAGACCATTAAAAGAAAGATGTGAACCTCAATAGCATCATCCTTATCCTTCAGGCTTTGATCTTTTTCATGACCAGCTTTCCTCAAAGCTATGACCTCTTTCTGCAGCAAGTCATATAAAACGCCCGGGACACTATCCTCGGTATCTACTGCTGGGAATTCTGTAGGCTTATCATCTGAAGTTCCTTTCCAGTTATTAGGTGCCTCAGTGTCCTTTGTAACATCAATCGACTGGTTGAAGGAGAAGTTGCCTGAACCATTTAGAAGTACCTTACCCCGGTCCAATGATCTTGTACCACCATCAAATGATTTTGATGTGCCTTTAGCGTGCTTCAGCACTGAACTAGTGCTAGATGATACGGATCTCAAAGGCGGTGTTCTCTTGGATAAAAAGCCATTTGAAGTCAATTTTGAAATATTATCAGCTCCACCAAGGGACTGACGACGAGAAGGCCCATTACTCATACTTCTTCCCTCTACTGTACTGCCTTTGCTACTGTTAGAAGTCCCTCGCAAACTCTCCTCAAGCACTTTGAGTCGCAAATGAAACTTATCCTGAGAAAAAGAGAGAACTTTATAGTCCACATATCATCAAAACACATATCACAAAGAGAAATTGATAAACCGCATCATTACTTTCAACTGAGCTTCAGACTTGGCAGCTCGTTCAGCTATAGCAAGCTTGTCCCGAAGTTGCTGCATTTCTCCCTGAAAGAACAAAGTTTGATAGTTACACAAATGACCGCGCCAAGCCATCACATGGTGTCAAAAAGGTCATTCGGAACTGTCATTGAAAGGAAAAGAAAAATATAGAAACCACACTTACTTGCAAAAATCTACGTTCTTCAAGCCATTGTTTTACAGGCATCACTTTGTCATTTGCATCCTTCCATTCATTTGCTACCACTACAGCTACTCTATTTGCTGTTACCTTTGCACGAGCAAGCTCTCTGTCAAGAGTTTTCCTTTCCTCCTGTGGAAATGAACACGAACCTTACCAATTGAAGCTACTATGAAAAACTATTGATAAAATATGGAAGGAACAACTATCAACACTGCACATAGAAAAATTAAGAGTATTACATTCATCTCCTGTACTTTCCGCTGATAATCTCTCACAGCATTTGCTGCTGCACCACCAGCAAGAACAGCTTCTTCCAATTCTCTTACAGTCTGAGTAAGCTTTTCAACTTCCGCAACTTTTTGTCTATGCATTTTGTCTAAAATTTTATTTTCTTCCTGAAACATAGAAGCAGCAAAATTTAAAATCCATTCTACTTGTACACAGTGAACAGGAAAAGTATGAAAACTAGGTGCATGCCAGAGGATTATCATGCTTGTTTTGGCTCACCTGACAAATTTCTATTTGTTTCATCAACTCTTGGTTTTTATTCTGGAGATCATCCACCATAGATGCCTTGGCCAAGGCAACCTGAACGGTCCTCTCAGCTTCAAGTAAGGCTGCTTCTTTTGATTTGGTGAGTCGATCAAGGGCTTTATTATCATCTTGAAGCTTAGCAATCTGCAAGGAACAAAAAACAATATAATTCGGCAAAATACTTGCTTCATTCTCTTTTTCCTTCTTGAACATGGAATTGCTTTTTGTATTATCTATTAAAGGACCCATGTAATACCTCTTGCCGAGCAAGCTTGAGCTCAGCCTCCAGAGGTGCAAGAATGGCTTCTATTGGAGGCATATCATCATCCTTCTGAGCAGCATGAACCCTTCGAAGAGTAGCTTCAGCGGCAAACTGAGCTGCCATAGAAGCCTTCTTCTCATCATTGATTTTCTTTATTTCAAGATTCTGCAAAACGTGTTTTATTACTTTGATGAGTAAACATATCCAAGAGTAAATTAACAAAAAAAGGACAAGATTATAAAAAACGGTTGAAAGGCTTCCAATAATACTTTGCTTTCTAGAAGCGATTCTGTTAACTTCAGCTTCTCCTCCACCTTAGACAGTTCTTCAGTAAGCTACATTAATCAAAAGACAAAATGGAAAATTAGCAAACCCTCTTAACGAGAGAAATCAATATAGAATAATATATGGTACACAAAAACAAGAGAGAGAAAAGGCTCATATAATATACGGCAATGGCAAAAATCAAACTTTAGAAAGCGGCCATTTAAGACAATGAAAAAACTGAATAGCTGATCCAACAATCATTTTAAAGGTAATTAAGAAATGCAACATCCAAAGATTTTCTTCAAGAAAAATGCAAAACAATGGACATATCAAAACCCAAAACCAAAAAGAATGAGAAGCAAGTGGCGAATATATGAGAAATGTGCGACCACAAGGCCTATACAGAATCTCCAAACGATGCCAAAATTTTCCCCAAAGCATACAAGCATTACATTGTATGTGAATGGTGTTTCAGCATCTCCAAGGAAGAAGTTTGATAATTGAGACAATCCCCGAGTAATTTTAATAACTTACCTAATTAGTTGTTACCATAGAAAGTTTCGAACTTCTCAACAGACAATTACCTTTGCTGCTTCAAATAAAAATTATAATCGAATAGTTTTCTTTCTTTCCGCCTCCAACATTGGAATATCAAATCAGTAGAGGCAGATATGATACAAGCAAATGAAATGAGCATGAATCTAACCAACAAATTCTTATCTCTTCAAAAAAAAAAAAAAGGAAACTAAATACTGAAATTTAATAGTAAGCAGACACGCGAGCTGAATGATGTAGGAATTAACTCAGAAAATTAAAATGTCAATAAACAGAAAGAACTAGCGAAATGAGAATACAATAAATTTACGAGGAAAGAGAGGGAAAAAAAAGTAGCAAAAACATTACCTCTTCAACGGCCTTTTCCCTGAGCCTTTCGGATAACCTGAGAGCCTTGATCTCCGCCTGAGCTTCTCCCAACTCTCGATCCTTATCTGAAAATCAAGACCAGAAAAATTAAAAAATAAAATAAAACCACACTATGAAATCAAGCAAATCCTGCTCCAAATCTCCACGCAAAACGACCGGATCGGAACCGCATTCGCACCTCTGACTTCATTCTCCAGCCGATTGAGCTCGACCTTGACCGGATCCGAGCCGTGCAATAGGTTAAGGAACTCGTCGGCGTCGAGGCTCGGCCTAACGGAGCCCCGCCTCCGCGACGAGCTCTTCCCTTCCTTGAACGAACCGGACACCGACAGTGGCGCAGGCGACGCGCCATTGCCGCTCGTCTCCGCCGCTCCTCCTCCTCCTACCTCCCCGGAATACTCCGCCATCGCCGATCTGAGCGATTCACACTCTCTCACATCCAAATGCGCCTCGGGATCCGAAATGCTAGGGTTCCAAAATCCAATCACACGGCTAGAGAGAGAGAGAGAAACAGTGTAAACTGAATGAGCTTAGATAGAGAGAGAGAAAGAGAAGAGAGAGGAAAGGGAGAGCTTTCTTTCTCAGTTGTTCGTTGTTTCTCTCTCTAGATTGTGATTTAAATCTAGTTGTTTGTACGTCTCTGGTTATAGAGAGAGAAAGTGTGTCTGAAAATAGTTTAATCCAATAATTAACTAAACTAAACCAAACCAATATATATATAATAGTAGAGAGCTTTGCTGTTAGTGAGCTTGATATTGAGCGCTTCACTCTCACTATTAACTGTTTCTACTTACTTACTACTTCTATTACTGTTCATTTTTCTTTCTTTTTTTTTGTCTCTTGATAAATCCCCAGGGATGCGTAGTGCGCACTCTCACGGAAAGGGCACGGGTGCGCAGTGCGCTTAACGGCGCACGTTAGTAGGGTGGCAGAGACTGCATTGCTTCGCTTTTTATTCCCGACATCTCTCGTGTTGTTGGACACTTGGACTTTGGATCGGAGATGACTGAAAAATGAAAATTAAGCGAAAAATAGATAAAAAAAAAAATGACATTGTCGTGGTTCTGATATTGTGTACGTCCTTTTATTTTTGCTGCTAAGATAAGATATATTGTGTATAGTTATTTATTTATTACTTGTTTATGAATTTATTTTTATGTTTAATGCATTAAAAATTAGGGAGAATTTAAAAAAAAAAGATAGTGATGAGAAGAGAGTGTTATTACTAATGAGGAGAATTAAGAAAAGTGATTATTTTATTAATAGTTACCTTTATTAGCGGTTGAATTTATTTTTGTATTGATTTTCAAGTTTAGAAATTTATTGATATTAAGAGATATGATAGGTGTGAGTAACTTACCCCGATTATGTGATTGTATTTTGTATTCATTAATAAGAAATGAGCAGATAAATACAAAGTACAATCACAAAATTAGATAAGTTATTTTAGACTATAATCTCTTAAAATGAAGAGATTTCTAAAAATGAAAATTCATTCAAATAATTAAAGTACTAATAAAGGTAATTATATATCATGTATTTTACTGAAATATAGAAATCTATCAAGGGTCATGTATTTATGGTTACAATTTTCAACACAATTAAAACTAAAAAATGACACAAATAAATGGGTTTAAATTATCTATTAAATTTATGTATCAATTTCACGTTGAAGAATACGAATAACAAATGGGTTGGTTTCGGCCAACGCCCATAGCTTAAAACCGTTTATGAAAATTTTACAATAACAAATTTAACATTAACTTTTTTATGTGGTTCCATATGGAGATTTTAACACTTTTAAGTACTTATTAGTTATGTATTAATACACTTTGTTCAAAGACATAGATAATTGCTATTAATTGATACTGAACTATATATTTTTAGGTATGTTGTCTGAAAAATTCACACGTGTTTTTCTAGTCGCACAAAATTCACATCCTAATGTTAGATTTAGTTAATATTATATTTTTGTTCAAAGATTTCGTTAGATTTTTTTTTTTTGAATAATTTCGTTAGAATTAATTGTGCAAATGATACTACTATCATTAAAAAAAATAATAAACTATGGTTCTGTAAGAGAACAATCTCAAAATGTTTGATTTTTAGGACAATAACTTTGTGCGTATTAACAAAAACCAAAATTTATATAAGTTTATTATTCTTAAATGCTCAAAAGTTTGAAACTTATTGCTTCTTTTATGCATACGCAAAAAAAAAAAAAGAGCGACGCACACACGTAAGACTTTTCTTGGCATCCATTGTTTTACGAAGGGTAAATACTTGCCTTTATTTCTAACAAATTATTTAATTACAAAGTTAAAAGTTTTTCCTAATAATATGATTCTCTTTTCCTCTAGACTATGCTTGCTTTGAACCCATGAGTTATTTATTATTTTATGCATACTAAACATACTCTCAAGGTTGTAGATCTTGATTGTATTTGTGATAAATTTAGACCTCATTCATTTTACCGATTCGAGTTTAGAATTTAAATTTTGTTACAGTAAAAAACTCTCAGAAATAGTCACATTTAACTTTTTTACCACAGTAAAAAATTCTCATATAAAGTCACATCTTAACTCGAATTAAAAACTCGAATCATCAAACTAAACGGTACCTAACGCATTCTCAAGGTTCGGGGGTCAACAACTATTTCTCATTCCTAAATTAACAAATTTACCCTTCGTAGTCACTGCAATATAAAAGAGTAAAAACGCTTGGCACTGTAAAGTTTTGATAGTCCAAAACATATAGGGCCTATTTGTTACCGTTTTTGTTTTCATTTTTCACGTTTTTCGAAGTAAAAAATTGAAAACAGAAATGAAAAACGCGTTTGGCGAAGTTTGTGTTAGAAAATAAAAACAAAAACATTTTTGTCTTTTTGTGAAAAACTGAAAACGAAAAAAATACGTTTTCATTTTCACGTTTTCGTTTTCTGAAAACGGATTTCAGTTTTTTTTTGTCTTATCTCTCTTCTCCAGCCGAAGAAGATGTCGGAGAACGCCCTCCGACTGCGCCCCCCTCCCCCACTCGTCTCCGTTGATTGATGAGGTAGGAAGGAAATGAGTTTTCAGTTTATTTAATATATTATTAATTTTAACATTATATACATGTTTTTAAAAATTAAATTACCAAACACAATTTTAGTTTTTTTAAAATTGAAAACAATCTCAGAATAAAACTACCAAACGCATTTTCAGAAATGATTCTAAAATGAAAATAAAAACGTTTTTGTTTTCATTTTCATACAAAAAATAAAAACGTTTTGGAACCAATTCCAAACGCACCCATAGCTTTAGCATTTTTTTTTTCACTACTATATAAAAGAGTAGAAACGCTTTTAGTTCTTTGCTTCTTTCTAACTTTTTTTTTTCTCTTTTTGTTTCATTTTTTTTTTTCCTTTTCAAACACTTGAAATTTAAAAAAAAAAACGCTAGGCATTGTAGCATTTTGGTAGCCCAAAACGCATAGCTTTAGCGTTTCTGTCTCTTTTTTTTGGGGTTATTTATTTATTTATTTTATATTCTCTTTTCCCTTTTTCTTTTCTTCCCCAATATTTTATATTCTTCACACTTATCTTTGTTTTTATTTTTTTTTCTTTCACTTACCCTAATTATTTTTATAATTAAACACACCATTCTCACTTAAACTATTATTAACGTAACACTTTTTAGAAAAAGAAAAGATGATGTGTGGGGAATTCAAACTCTACACTTTTTCATGAAAGTATGCAATTTTTGTTATAACAAGCATACTTTCACTTAATATATACTTTTCCTTAATTTCTAAACAAAGAACTTCATTTTTTTCGTTTTTATTGTTGTTTGTATTTTATGTTATAAAAACTTTAATTATAATTGAGTATGTGCATCGCACATAGTAAAACTAATTTATGAATAAACGTTAACATGACTGAATACGAATTAGACATTATATTTAAAAAAATGAAAAACTGTTTTTTCAAGTTAAGTTGCAAAAGAGTAATTGTTGAGTATAGTTTGTCTATAATCACGAAGGGTATACTTGCTAATTTAGGAATCAAAATCTTGATCTAGAATAGGTTTATCTTGAGAGTTTTTCAAATAGGCTAGACCTCTTGATAGTATTAATTTATGACCTTTTGATCATGTTAAAATCATATAAAATTAAAAAAAATAATATTAATTTATGACATTTTACTCAGGTTAAAATCATATCAGATTAAAAAAATATGCTGAATAAATAATTTTTGATGATCTAAAGGTTAAAAATATAAAACTAACGGTGGTTTATTTTTCTAGTCTTACTAAAAAAGCTCCCCTAAATTTAACATGAATTTAAAAGTGGCGATACAATCTTGATAACATGTAGAGGACGTAGCACACATTTTTTATGCGCTAAATAAGGTAAAAAATAGTTAGTATTCACTACTTTTTATAAGCTTTAATTTTAGATTTGATTTAGCAATATACATTTAGTAAAATTGGGAGGCCTCTACGGGGAAAGGTGCATCAGGATAAAATAGATTGGAAAATATTTAGATAATATTAATTTTTGACATTTTAATTAGGTTAAAATCATATCAGATTAAAAAAATAATATTAATTTTTGATATTATGATCAAGTTAAAATTATATCAGATTAAAAAAATATGTAGAATAGATAATTTTTGATGATCTAACAGTTAAAAATATAAAACTACCAATAGTTTATTTTTCTAGTCTTACTAAAAAAGCTCCCCTAAATTTAATATGAATTTAAAAGTCGGCGATACAATCTTAATAACATGTAGAGGACGCACATTTTTTATGCGCTAAATAAGGTATAAAATAGTTAGTATCCACGACTTTTTATAAGCTTTAATTTTAGATTTGATTTAGCAATATACATTTAGTAAGATTGGGAGGCCTCTATGGGGAAAGATGCATTAGGATAAAATAGATTGGAAAATATTTAGATAATATTAATTTTTGACATTTTAATCAGGCTAAAATCATATCAGATTAAAAAAATAGTATTAATTTTTGACATTATGATCAGGTTAAAATTATATCAGATTAAAAAAATATGTAAAATAGATAATTTTTTATGATCTAACGGTTAAAAATATAAAACTACTAGTAGTTTATTTTTCTAGTCTTACTAAAAAAAGCTCCCCTAAATTTAATATGAATTTAAAAGTCGCCGATACAATCTTAATAACATGTAGAGGATGCACCTTTTTTATGCGCTAAATAAGGTATAAAATAGTTAGTATCCACTACTTTTTATAAGCTTTAATTTTAGATTTGATTTAGCAATATACATTTAGTAAGATTAGGAGGCCTCTACGGGGAAATGTGCATCAGGATAAAATAGATTGGAAAATATTTAGATGCATTGAAAAGTTACATACAACATATATATATATATATATATGCTTAATTATAAATGGATTTAATAGATAAAAAAGGGAAAAGTGTGAAGGAGAAGAAAATTCAGAACTAGCTCTTTCTGTATCTAGAGCAGACAACTTTTTTTTTTTTTTTTTGCTCTTTTAGAAATTGTTATATAAAATTCTCATCTCCAAAATAATGAGCATACTAGTTTTAAAAAAGGAAACTGTCTACTTCACCATTCAAGATAAAGGAAGAATGTTTAGCTGTAGACAAAATCATCCAATCAGAATGCTTGAGCACGGTAATGACACCTATTTAGCAAAAACTCCGGAACTTGAAATCTTTTTACTACTATTTTATCTCATAAAATTTTTAAAATTTTTTTTATTCAAATCTATCAATAATCCCCGGAGGAGTGAGATTCCCCATACTAGATCCCATTTTCTATCGAAATGACAAGTTGAACCATTCGGGAAAAGTTGTAAATTAAGGACCATTTATTTTACCGATTCAAGTTTTATTACAGTAAAAAATTATCAGAAACAGTCATATTTAATTTTTTTATTACAGTAAAAAGCTCTCACATAAAGTCACATCTCAACTCGAATTAACGAACTAAACAGTCCCTAAGCAAAACACTTCCGAATTTCCATTTGATCAATAGACAGAATCAAATCATCAGTTTTCTTAAGGGAATGTTTGGTTGGAAGATTCAAACCATGATTTGAATTATGGTTCATAGTTCGTTACAATATTTTCTCTCACAAAAAATACACGTAAATCAAAAATGGTTCTAACCACTGCTTACTAGTAATTAAATCCGCCACCAATAAGCAAATCTGAATCACCTGATAAAAGAGTAATTGATTTAATTACAATAATAAAAAAATATAGGAAATAGGAGTATTAGGAGGACATAAGTTAAGCATTTATGCAATATATATGTTGTGTGATCATAAGATTTTTAGCGTCTATATCCCTGAATGTCGTGTGTTTTGACACTTTAAAAACTTTTTGAGTTAATTCTACAAATAATTTTTGAAATTTACCCTCAATCTCATTTAGGACTATAACTTTTAAATTCATAGTTAATCTCTAAAGTTTTACTTTGTTTCAATTTCGGTCTTTCCGTTAACTATATGTTAAATATTTGACGGAATCTATATAAATTAAAAATAAAAATTGAAAACACCTAAAATTTAGAGACTATATGTGTAAATTAACTTTTGTTTTCTATATTGTTTTAATCTATAAACTTTAGACGTTTCTAATTTTAGTACTTAATTGTACAAATTTTGTCAAATATCTAACACATGGCTCACAGAAAAGACTGAAACTAGAATAGAATAAAACCTCAAGAGCCAACTGAAGACGTTTTAAAAATCAAAAACTAAAATAAGATTAAGACCCCGTTTGGTAAAGTGATTCGTTCCCTGATTCGAATCATGATTCGTGGTTCGCTACAGTATTTTCTCTCATAAAAAATACACGTAAATAAAAAATGATTCTAATCCATGAACCAAATAGGCTCTAAGAGTAAACTTCAAGGATCATTTATGAGGATTAACCCAAACTTTTTTCCTTAGCAATTTTGTCTTAAATAACTCCATTTGTTAGGAGAATTAAATTTTGGACGAGATCATAATAATTTTTTAACATCGCGGCCGTGAACTTAATATAATGACATTTTTTACCCTAAAAATTATTTTTAAGAATCATGTGATTAGAACCATTTTTAATTTACGTGTATTTTTTATAAAAGAAAACACTGTAGCGAACCATGAACCATGATTCAAATCATAGTTTGAATCATCCAACTAAACATCCCCTTAGTCCCTTAATTAGTTATTCAGGGCCATTCAAGGCATTAGAAGCAAAGATCAAGATTTGACCATCTCTATATAGACATGTTTGTGTGTGTGCATGCCCAAATGCAAGCGCAGGAGTAAAATAAAAAATTGAAGCCAAAACACAAAATTTCTTCCCTCTCATCAGATTAGCAATCTCTACATCCGAGTCTATTTCTAGATTACACAAATAGAAGTTCATAACGCAAAAGCCTACAAACATCACATGAGAATATTGAGAAGCATTTTCCTTTAGACTGACCCGAAACCTTTCCGTGATTTTTCGCTCCAAATCAACCTAGCAAACGACGAGACATTTCCAAACCTTAGAAATCATGTTTCACCAGAAATGCGCAGTACAAATAGAAAACTAAGACACAACACATACCCCTAAAGAACACTATTACTCAAATCTAATCTTCTTTGGAGCAGGTTGGATGCTACCCACCTGCATAGCCAACAGATGAATATTGGTTAACATCGCGAATTTAAAAAAACCAACACAAGTTTCTTTACTAATTTACCGTGATGAAATGAGTAGTTAAAAGTCAATAAACAAGGTATAGCTTCTTACAATTTCGGGGCACTCGTAATCTATACCGGCAGCCTCTATCCTCTTTTGGCGTGCCAAGTCTCGCTTGATGATTTTGTCAATCAACTTTTGGCGCTCTTCCAAAGTTCTTTCCTGCACAAGTTTCCATCAAGTAATCAGGCATAAAGAAACCACCTTTGAGTCTTATTTGGTAGGCATCAAGTGAAAAACCAGCAGGGTGCTACATTTTTTTTTCTTGTCAGCAAGGTTTACCTTATTAAGTCTCTTTCTCTCAATCTGTACCCGATCCAATGGCTTGTACCGGAAATTGAAACCTTTCCACCTATCAAACTAATTTAATGAGTGAAACATAAACATTGGCGATATATAGATAACAGAAGCCAGATTGCATAGCAGGGGAAGAATGAGACGTCATTCTCAAGACATAAATGTTTACAACTTAAGCAATTCTTTAAATCCTTCTCGTATTTTGACTTGCGATTATTCAAAATAATTTGATGCTTTCACTTTTTTCACTTTCACGTACATGGATCATATAATACTTAAAGATAAATCGTTCCTTACAGATTGGGATGAATACGCTCTGGAGGAACAAGATGGACTTGCAACAGGTGTTCAAATAACAAATAATTATTCATAGAATCCGCTACAATTTTTGCCACCTGCAACCAACAAAGATGTTGTTAACAAAAGGAAACTTTGTAACACAAGAGTCTTAAGAGAAGGAAAAGGAAAGAATGTGAGAAGAAAATACCCCAGGATCCTCAAATTCAATGAAACCATAATGCTTCGACTTTCCTGTCTGTAGAACACAAAAAGCCAACGAACAAAATAGTAAGTCAGCATAAAAACAGTAAACACTACACCCTCTCAGGAAACTTAAATCCAGCAGAATCATTTTTAAAATATATAAGCATGTTCTCATGTTCATAAACGAAAGGACAGTTAGTCCACAAATCCCAATTACCAAATGATAACAAAATGGTCAGCGGTTATATTCATAAATTTACATTTTTTTAATTATAAGGAAATATGTCCAATTTGCGCATCAAATCACTGAACTGTGAGCCAACAAGTAGGAACTCCACTATCGCTAGTTCCTATGGTTATGTTACAAAGTTCACAATATATATCCTTAAGAGTCTCAGCTAGCTATTTGATGAGGAACTAATACATTAGAAATTTAAGGGTTATTTACATTTTTATACCATGTGTTTTAAGTTTATTCAGAAAGTATACCTTTAATTTTTAATCTCATCAAATGTATATCCTCGAATTATAGTTAATAGGTAAATCTCTACCCTTTTATAGTCAAATTTTAATCTTCAAATGACACAAATACCCTTAAAGAGAAAAATAAAATTCTAAAAATCTAAATAAACTAGAGGAAAAAATAACCAAAAAAAAAAAAAACTTGACAACAACGAAGGGAGCCTTTTTTTTTTTTTTTTTTTTTTGCAAATTAAAGCTACATATGGATCTTCGGTGTTTGAATCTGATATCTTTTTTATTTTTTTGGGTCTGACGTTTGAATCTGGTTTGCAAATTAATTTGAAATATTGAGGCCCAAAAAAAGCATATTGGGGATTTTAAGTTAGCAAATGTTTCTTTTTGTTGTTTGGCGGAGTAAATGGAAGATACAATGATGATGCCATGGAAGAGATTAGAAACTTCTTGGATAATGACAATGGCGAAGAAGCTAGCAAATGTTTCTTGTGTTTTTAGTTTATTTTTTTTCTTTTGTCCCTTTCGGTTTTGTTTTATTTTTTTATTTTTATTTTTTTTTCTGTTTAAGGACATTCACGCCATTTTAATAGTCAAAATTGATTGTTGACTGATGGAAGGTAGACATTTAGCTATTAAATTTAATATGAAGGTATATATTTGATGAGATTAAAAACTAAAGGTCTACTTTCTAAATAAACTTAAAAAATAGGGTATAAAAATGTAAATAACTCGAAATTTAAACTACAGGTTTATTTTTACCATAATTCGGAATATCTGAATTATGGTTTATCTAATAGAATGTTTTGGAATATCTGAATTATGGTTCTCTTTATCTATTAGGATTATTTAGGATTTATCTAAGCTAATTGATTATTTGGTTATGTTTATCCTATTATTAGGTTTTAGGAGTCTATAAAAAGAGATGATTTTTGAATTTTTCAGTTAAGTCTTAGAAGCAATTGAATGCAAATATTTCCTCCCTCTTGTTCTCTCTTCTCTCTAAATCCTTCTACTCCTCCCTCAATTCTTCTCGTCTTTTCTATCATTTTCTCTCTCTATTTCAGTATTTCTTTAATCATCTTGATATGCATCACTATTTATATACTGATCTTTCCCTTCATCATACACTCAACAAATTGCCACACTAGGGCTTGTGCCTTGTAACCGAAACTGTAAGTTAGCTTATCTCACAACACAGGAATATGAAACCTTATCACCACTTTAAACATAAAATTATAACACAACATTCCTAACAACCAAACTGTCCTATAGGAAATAACAATTAAACTTGTTCTACATCAATATACAATCAACCTTGGTGCAATCGGGCATTCAACTAGTACAAGAAACATTCCAAGATAAAAGAACTCATCGCTCTATATCTCGGGCGAGGAAAATGAAGTTGAGGGAGGATTTTTCTCTTATTGTTGTGTTCGGCATAAATTCCCTCCTCCGGCATTTAAAATCAGTGTCTTGTTGAAAACTTTAAATCCCTCGCCCATTTCATTCCTACTCTAATCACTCCTACCAAACAAGGCCTAAAGCATCAAAATTGAGAAAAAGACAGTTTGCCTATAATAAAACATCATTCAAAGGAAACAAACAACAGAAGTATGAGAAATCAAAATACAAAGTTTAACCTTTTTATTCCTCGCAATTCTCAATCTCTTGATTGCCCCAAATTGTTGAAAGAAACCTACATTAAAAAAAAATCACCTAATTAGAACAAACGGGAATTATACAGCAGCCCAGTACAGCCATAAACATTAAAATTTAAAAAATAAAATAAAAATGAGAAAAAATGATTCACCTTCCATTTCCTTCTCATAGAACCCATGTGGTATACGACCAATGTATACGACTCTAGAAACATCTTCCGTAGCCTTTTCCACAACAAGATTTTTCCCAGGTCCTCCTTCTAACGGCTTTTTTTATAAGAAAAATCACAAAACAAAATAAGAAAACTGAAAATCCTTAATAATCTCGAAGGAAATACGACACCAAAAGCGTACCAAGAAATCGGAAGCTTCTTTGTTCTTCTGAACGGAAACCGACAACTTTGAGGAAGACGGGGGTTTATTGAGCTTCTTCTTCAGAGATTTCTTCGCCTTGGCTCCCATGTCGCTGCGAATTCCAAGAATTTGTCAATAATTTTCAACACAGAGAGATTTTTTTGTTCCCGTTTTTTATTTTCAAGCGAAACGTATGAGTGAGAGCCACAGAGAGGGAGAGGGTTTTCTTTCGAAGTGGCGGCAGAGAAGCAAGGGTTAATTATCATCAAAAATAAATAAATAAAATAAGGCCGCTAGGGTTTCAATTTCGTGTCTTGTTTTATTTAAAAAAATAAAAAAAAAAGAAAGGAAACGACAAAAGACCGCAAAATGAATTTAACAACGTCGTTTTGCTTCAGTGTTTGTCAATTTCCCTCTTCTTTCTCTCGTCCAGGTTTTAAACCCCTCCAAAATTCATAAACCCTCTCTCTCTCTCTCTATGCATGGTCAGAGAAACTCTCCAATTCTTCGCCCACCTGCGAAGGACTTCCCGTTTCCCAACTCCTTTCACCTTCAACAAGCTTCTCCACCACCTCACCAGCGCCAATTGCGGCGATCTCTCTCTCAAAATCCTCTCCCATTTCCTCACCAAACGGTACGTTCCTCACCCTTCTTCCTTCAATTCCGTCCTCTCTTTTCTCTGCAAATCGGGTCAGCTAAGATTTGCCCGAAACGTCGTCGATTCGATGCCGAAATTCGGCTTTTCCCCTGACGTCGTGACTTACAATTGTTTGGTTGATGGGTTCTGTAAGAATCTTGATGTTGAAGAAGCTTGTTTCGTAGTTAGTAAAATGCGAATGGGGAAATGTGGGCCTGATTTAGTCACGTTTAATACACTGTTTAATGGGTTTTCCAAGACGAGAATGGAGAGAGAGGCGTTTGTGTACATGGGCTTGATGTGGAAATGTTGTTTGCCTAATGTGGTTACTTATAGTACTTTTGTTGACATGTTTTGTAAAGTTGGGAATTTTGATTTGGGTTATAAGGTGTTTAGGGATATGGTGAATGCCGGGGTGTTGCCGAATTCAGTTGTTTTTACTGCTTTGCTTGATGGTTATTGTAAAGCCGGGAATTTGGATATCGCGTTCGAGTTGTTTGTGGAGATGAAGAGATCTTCGGTTTCGCCTAATGTCGTTACCTATGCTGCTCTAGTTGACGGTTTTTGCAAACGAGGGGCGTTGGAAAGAGCGGAGTCATTGTTTTCTAAGATGTTGGAAGATGGGGTTGAGCCTAATTCCGTTGTTTACACATCGATCATAGACGGGCATTTTGTGAAAGGAAACGTAGATGATGCTGTGAAGTATATGACTAAAATGTGTGATCAAGGTCTGAGGCTTGATATGACCGCATATGAGGTCGTTATTCGCGGTTTCTGTAAAAATGGTCGGTTAGATAAAGCAATGGAGGTTATGAGAAGTATGACTGAGAGTGGATTGTTTCCAGATAAGATCATGTTAACCACCGTTATGGATGCACATTTTAAATCCGGCGATTTAAAAAGAGCTTTGGAGGTCTACAGGGAGATATTGTTTAGAGGTTTTGAACCCGACATTGTAACTCTTTCGAGCATAATGGATGGATTATCCAAGAAGGGGCATCTTCAAGAGGCTAGAGGCTATTTATGCAGGGAGAAGGCCAATGAAATCTCGTACACGGTGCTTATTGATGGGATGTGCAAAGAAGGGCACTTTGGTGAAGTTGAAATGGTTTTCAGGGAGATGTCCGAGGCGGGGTTTGTTCCCGACAAGTATGCCTACACTTCTTGGATTGCTGGGCTATGCAAGCAAGGAAAGTTGGTGGAGGCTTTTGTGCTGAAGAATCGAATGGCTCAAGAAGGAATTGAACCTGATTTATTAACTTATAGCTCCCTAATATTTGGTTTAGCAAACAAAGGGCTAATGGTTGAAGCCAAACAGGTTTTTGATGATATGTTGAAAAGGGGTATTTCTCCTGACTCTGCTGTCTACGATATTCTAATCAGAGGCTATCTCAAGGAAGGTAATGAAGTTGCAGTTTCGGGTATGCATGATGAAATGAGAAAAAGAGGAATTAAAGTTCCAGTTGGCAAAGTAGACAGTGAAGAAATTTAGGTCCCGTTTATTCTATAGATTCAATCACAATTTAAACGTTTTTGTTAGAGTGTTTTTTCTCACGAAAATTTGACTTTTCGTCAAAACATTCTATTCTAACCTATAGTTCGTACTCAGCCACTATGCCATGGAAGGATGCAAATAGATGTTGTATGAGGTAACTGTAACAAGGGATGGTCAAGGGCATAAGTTGAGCCGACTACTAAAGTACTAATCTTATATAAATCGGCTGACAAGAAAGTGTAAGGCTGATGGACGACATTATTGGTCAAAGAACCAAGCGATGCCTCTTTGATGCATGCTTTCATGGCTGCAACTGTCTGCCCGAATTTCCAATTGATCTCCAATTTCTCTATGGTGAAATTATTGTATAGCAAATTTATTATTAGTTTGTAACAACTTAGTGGAGACCTTTCTTAGGAATTTAAATATAGGATTTAGAATTATCTTTCGAGTTGAGAGCTATTTTAGAATTTGAGTTATTTTGAAGTTATTTTATGCTTATCTATTAGAGTTATTAGGATTTATCTGACTTCGAATAGATTAGGAGTTTAATTATTATTAAAATTTGTGTGTATAAATAGAGCTTGTATTTGTCCTTTTCTGAAAAGACGTTGATGATTAATTGAATACAAATATTTCATCTCTATAGGTCTATTGTTGTATCCTCTCTCTCTATTTCTAAGGTCTCGTTTACTTCGCGAATTTGAGTTTTCAATTCGAATTGAGATGTGATATTTTCTGAGAGTTTTTAACTGTAGCAGAAAAAATTAAATGTGACATTTTCTGAGAGCTTTTAACTGTGAAAACCTAAAATTAAAAACTCAAATTAGTAAAATGAACGAGACCTAAATTCTTTTACTTCTCCTTCTTTTTCCATCTCTTTATTTAATCTTATCTTGGTCATGTATCAATTGGTATCAAGTCATTTTATTTGGCCATAAACAATATTTTCATGAAAAACACTTAAGAAATCTGCTGCCCACCCCACGCGACATCGCCCTCTGATGACACCGCACACCACTAAACTCAAAATCTTAGGACCTTCTTATTAGTTGTTTGAAACTCGTTCTAAAATAATTTTATTTTTTTTTTGTATGAAAATAAAAATGAAAGCGTTTTCAATCTCAGACAGAAATCATTTTTGAAAATATTTTTGATAATTTTATTAAGAGATTATTTTCAGTATAAAAAATCTATTAATGTCTCTCTCTCTTTGCTCGAGAGAGGAGAAAACGAAAATAAAAAATAAAAAATAATTAAAAGTCAATTTTCATTTCTCTCATTTTATACTGAATCAAAAAATTATTTTTATTGCGCTAAACGCTATTTTGAAAACATTTTTATTTTTTCTTTATCAAAAAACGTGAAAAATAAAAACGGAATCAATTCCAAACACGGCTTAAAATTTTGCGACTGGGACTAAAGTGTAAAAGCTTATGATAAGCTCGAGGGCATGTGATTTTGTATTTAATGTGCCTTTTTTTTTTTTTTGTAAAAGCTTCGGTTGTAATTCTTCCGTCAATTTGACTATTAAGGATCGTGGTAAAAAAAAAAAAAAAGAATTCAATGACTAATTTGTAAAAATAAAAAAGATAGGAACTACAGTGATAAATCGTTGATTTGTTTAATATTTTCTTCATTCCGGTTGCTTTTTTGGAACCTCCTAGGCAACATTTTAATATGTTTTGATTCTTTTGAAGAGTTATTTATAACCTTTCTGAATAACGCAATAGCCATTATTTCTTACAAGTTTTCTTTTTCTGATCATAAAAAAGAACTCGTACCTTTTCCTAATCATAGATGGGTATAGTTATACTAATTAATCATTTTAGAAATTCGCATCAAAGGAACACGATAATCTTGGTTCACTTTATCAAAAAACCAAAACAAAATAAAATAAACTTTAGGTTCATATTTATAAATATGTCTCTACGTGCAGATTACACTTTATTTACACGGAGCTAACTATATTTCTTAGCTTCAAGTTGAGTTCCCAACGAGAAACTAGAAAGTTACACCGGCAAAATGTCTATTAGAGTTCTATATAATTGGTTGCGTTTGCTAGTTTTCTTCCATGGAATAGTAGATAAAAGAGGTGATTACGGTCCCGTTCATTTCGCTGATTCGAGTTTAGAATTCGAATTTTGCTACAGTAAAAAGCTCTCACATAAAATCACATCTCAACTCGAATTAAAAACTCGAATCAGCGAACTAAACGGGCCCTACGTCTCTGCCTACAATCCAAAAGTGAAGGAAATACTTGGTAAAATTTTTCCAGAAACTTATGGACTTAGACACTACAAAAAAAGGTCCTTTTTGCGAGGGGTAAAATGGCGAGGGCACGTAATCCTCGCCGTTATCCATGCAGTCTACGATGATAGGACCTTGTCCTCGCAGAAAAGAGGCCAAGGGTTCTGCGAGGATTATGGACCTACAGCTCCGCCTCCACCTATGAATTCCAGAACTGATCATCCGACACGACATCGAGCACCTCCTCCACCACCATTTTGCTCATTCGAGAATTGGTTCTCCATCCTGGCCACGATCATGATCATCATCACCGCGAGAAGTGTCACGGCCGTCATCGCCTTAATTTGTCGTGCCGTTTTATAGATCGATCGATGAGAAGGGCTTTATATAAGTTTCATATATTCTACTATTCAACTTGTTTTTCTACGTACGATCTGCATGCATATTGCCTTTTGTTTCTAGAAAAATCGATCCTTTTTGTACATAAGGATGATATTTATATGCATGTAATCGATCATGCATAGGTAGATATGCATATGTACGTCTCCTTATCTTTTGATTTGACAAATCGAGTTATAATTTTATGTGATTTTCTAATAATACAAAAATCCATCTCTGATATATATCAATTTTTTTCTTAATTAATCATGCGAAAATATTTAATATATTTATATATATTAAAAAGAAAGAAAATACTTTTTACATTACATAAAAAACAACGGGTTTGATTTTAAGAACCAACTTTAATTGTGGAGTATCATTAATGTATCAAACAAATGTCAAATTTTCAAAAAAATATATATTAAAATAAAATAACATCAACAACCATAATTTCTATTGTGAGGTTCAGTTATATCTTTTTGCACGACTAATTTTTGAGTAAATCTTTGATGCCTTATTTTAATAATGTAAAGAACAATATTTCTCATAAGCTTCCTTTTCTAGATCACAAAAGATAAACACATATTGTTGTTAAGAGTATGAAAAGGGTATGTTAAAACAGTATAATCTCGATAAATTAATTTTTTTTTTGGCAAGATGATAAATTAATACTTTGGACTAAGAGTGTGCGTATATGTATTAAAAAGAATGAGATCATTTTAGTATTTTCTGTTATAGCGAAACATATTAAAAGTACTTTGTATTTTTAATAATATATAAACGGTACTTTCACTTAAAAAAAAGGATCTTTCAATACAAAAAATCGACCATTCTACCTTCTATTTATTTAATTAAAAACTAAATTTTTTTAAAAAAATAAGGCATTTGAAAATGAATTTGAAGATTTGCATTTTTTTTGCTTTGGGTTGAAAATCTACAAATCCTGTTTTGAGTTTTCTTTTTATATTTTAAAAATAACTTTTAGAAAGTTTTAACCTAGTTAAATAAATAGAAGAATAAAAAGGACATTTTACGTTTCAAAAATCGACCTTAAGGCAACGAAAGAACCTTTCTTTAAACGTTTGCGTGAAATTCAATATGGTGCTCTAGGGTTCATCAATTACTTCTTTCCTTCACCAAAGTGCTACTCGTTTTGATCTCTTTTTATATAGAAGTCGTCTTGACATTAAATGTGTAGTTCATGTGGCTTGAAACTTTTGTTTTGATTTTATTTTTAATGCAATAACGATGTTGTTGAATCTAAGTTTTAGCGTTTATGTTTCGTTGTATAATAACAAAAGTTATCGCTTCACCTTTCTATAGTGGTGGTAGACCTAATCACTACATTTGATCTTATGCAATATTGTGAGTAATCTCAGTCAATTAGTTTTATCTATCGACTATAGTAATTTTGTCAAGCGATTTTTATTGCGTTTGATTTTTAATTTGTAGAGCTGGTCTTTCCCATCAGAACTCGACATTTGTGTTTGTTTTATGCCCCATTCATTTTTAGTACTAGTGGATCCGGCCTGTTTGTGGTCGAATAACACTATATTTAGTAATCATTTGTGATATATAAGAGTATGTATAGACTTAATTATTAGATGAAATTTCCCCGTTTAAAAAGAAAAGGAAGAAGAAGCATATACTAAGGTAAGGAAAATCAATTGGTGCAAAACTTTTACACTTAAAATTCCAACACTCTATAAATATTCTCTGCACCCTAATTTTGTATACCCTAACCCGAATGGCATGTTTACTTATCAGGAGTAGGGAATGAGATTTGGGATTTGGAATAAACTCTATGTTTACTTACTCATTTATATTCTGGAATAAGAGAGAATGTGTGGGCCCCACACCAATTTGGGGTTGAGAAATGGGATTGGCACTCCCCCCACCCCCTACCGGATTGCCACTCCCAATCTTGATATTAAATGCAAAATTATGAATTTACCCTTAATTTTTCTCCTTTATTTAACTCTCTAGAGTTTATTTCCCTCTTTCTCTCTCAGCCATTTACCATCCCCTCTTATGCCGGTTCTTTTGCAGGTAGGCCATAAATCATCCTTTATTTTTATTTTCGTTTTGCTTTTTTTTTTTTGTGTTGAACATGTTGATAATGCTTTAATTTAGCTAGTTTTGCTGTTCCTTTCCATGTGCGGGTGCGTGTGTCAAGGTGTTTTTTTCCTTATTTTAATTTAATTTTTTATCCCTCTTTATTTCTTTAAACTCTTATATCTATTTTATTTCAGGAATTTTTACTGTAAGATTAGAAAACTGAAACTATCAATAATTTTTATCCCTATTTATTTCTCGTGATTCTAGTACTCTAGTTTTTTTTTTCTTTTTTTCTTACAATTTGATTCTTGTGTTATGCCTATTGTTGTTCATTTTTATAATATACAATGTAATACTAAATCTAATTTTATATGTTGATAATGTAGAGTAATCATGTCTAGACTTTTAGTATGAAAGAAGAGAGTAATCATTTCTTGATACAAGCTGGATTACAAGCCAACTTGTATCAAGAAATGCTGAAAATTGATGGCTTAGATGATGATCAAGTATATGATGCCACCAATATTATAGCAACAAAGCATGATTTGCTATGTGTATTTTACAACATTCCGGATTAACTCAAGAAGGGATACATCCTCAAAATTCTTAGTCGTGGGGTTTAAGTGTTA